CTAATTTGATGATCATTAAAAAAAAAGAGAAAGAGCACTGAAATGATAATTAGATTAGGAGTTTAAGGGTTGAAATCACTTTTGGCTCTTTTGTTTAGTGTATCAAATTTAGATTGTTTTTGCTCTATTTTTTCACCTTCTCATTTTTTCGGTGATATTTCTCTAACTTATTCTCCTTTCATTTTGTGTTATTGTTTTCAAAGTTAAAATTTTGTTTATACCTAATTCACTCCCTTTTGGATGTTCTGCCATTCAAACATGATCAAACCTTTTAAGAAGAAATGTGATCTAGTAAAGTACATAAAGATATTTTGGCACAAATAAATCATTTCCCTTAAATAATATTATGTCGTATGGTACAATATAAGTGAAAAATACTTTAAAGAACTTTGCTTCATATTTATATTTAACTTCTGTCTCTCTCTGCACACACATAAGAAAACATTAAAACTTAACTATAAGTAATTTTTCTAATATTTATCATTGTCAAAACTTATAGATGATTATGTCCAACAAAACCCATATTTTAAGTTTTAGCTTATTACCGTCACAAAAAATAAATAAAGTTTAGCTTAAATACTTTTTTTTTGCCAAAAAATTTTTTAGCTGAATAATACTATACTATTATAATTTTAAAATTTAATTTTTTAAATAATATTTAATTTAACATTTTTGAAAATGACCATCAAATCAATCAAATTCATCTCAGAAAAGAAGCTGGAAAATATTTATTAAAAAGCAATGAAAAAAAAACCGGACCGGACCGGCCGGTTCGACCGGAAAACCGGTGAACCGGTCTGCAGTCCGGTCTGGTTCACCAGCTGAACCGGGGGACATTCGAACCGGTAAAGAACCGGTTGAACCGGTCATAACCGGTACAGAACCGGGTAAACCCGGTTGGGCGGGTTACCCGTTCCCTTTTTTTTTTTTGCTGATATAACCTAAACGACGTCGTTTAGCTTAAAAAAAAAAAACCGGACTTCCTTTCTCGGTTTCTCCTTCCTTTGCCGTCGAGTTCCCCCTTTTTTTTCCCCTGAATCTGGTTCTTTCTTCCTCTCATCAGCTCCCGAGTGTCCCAGGTCGCAGCAGCCAGCAGCTCGCCTCCGGCCTCCCTCCTTAAAACCAAATCACCTCCTCCAAAATCCCTGCTCGCTAGAGTCATTGACGGCACGACGGTCTCCGAGACTCCGACACACCTCCTTGTTCGGCGGAGCTCCAAAATCGCAAAGTCATCGCAAGTCGGATCTCCGGTCTCCCTCAACCTCATCGCAAGTCTGATCTCCGGTCTCCCTCAACCATCTGAGCTCGCAAGTCAGAGTGTCTGAGCTCGCAAGTCTCCCTCAAGCTGAGCTCGCCCTGCTTGGCCTTCACCACTCTCCTAAACTTGAAACGGTAAGAATGAGTTCCAATACTGCCTCCCCCGTTCCTGTTTATGCTCTAAACCCCTAAGCCCCTGAATTTCTGATCCTATTTCCTAATTCGTCTGTCTCTACTCTCTTGCATACGCATCGAACTTTGCCGCTGCTCGTGACCTCGTCTCCTTGCCGCTGCTGTCGTTCTCGGTTCCTCTCAAGTCTCAGGCTCTCAGCTAATATTTTCTGGTATTCTGGCATACGCATCCTATTTCCTTTTCTTGCATTTTCGTTTTGGTTTGTAATTTTGTATCGAATGAATTTTGCTGTTTTACTGTGATTAGTCTTGCGGTAAATGAGATCCTGAATGAGTCTTGCTGATTAGTCTTGCTGATTATAGACTATATATAAATGAGATCCTGAATGAGTCTTGCTGATTAGTCTTGCTGATTATAGACTATATATAAATGAGATCTGAATGAGTCTTGCTGGATTATTGATTTTAGACTATGTATAACCGGCGCTGTGGTTTGATTTTTATTCAGCCAAGTCTTATAAGAGTGAAATGTCATTGCATATGTTGAATTATAAGAGTGAAATGTCATTGCATATGTTGAACTATGTATAACCGGCGCTGTGCAAATGTGTCAAAAACAGAAAAACTAATCACTAATAAGTTGAATTATGTTTTTCTGAATGCATCTATTTCTGAATTAAATTGATTTTATATGGATTTTGTTTTCTTTTCAAGAGGTAGCAGTGATGGATATTTCAAATAATCAAAGTTCTGGAAATGATAATGTCACTCCTAATACTCAATCTTCCACTCCCAACACTGAAACTTCCAATCCTCCTACACCAATTTCTTCATTGCGTGCAAAAACTGATCCTGCATGGGCACATGTTGCTTATAAGAAAGAAGGGACACAAAATGTATACACCTGCCTTTTTTGTGGTAATAGTTATAGAGGTGGTGGGATAAATAGGATGAAGCAACACCTTGCTGGTATCACTGGTCAAATATCTTCTTGTAAAAAAGTTTCGCATGATGTACGTCATAGAATGGCAGAATCTTTGAAAGAGTGTTCAAAGAAAAAAGCCATTGAAAATATAGAAGAGGAAATTGAAGATACTCATGTTGATTCACCAATTATCATGAGTAGTGCAAAAAAGAGAAAATCTATAGGGAGTATGGATAATTATTTTGCTCCTCGCACAACCCCTGATTCTCAACCGGGTATTAAAAGTGCATTGGCAACCAAAGAAGCGAAACACAATGTAAAAATGTTGATTGCTGAGTGGGCTATTGTGAATTGCATTCCATTTAAAGCATTTGATTGCCCGTTATTTCAAAAAGCTATAGATGGTATTGCTTCAATTGGGCCTGGGTTTAAAGCCCCTAGTGCTTATGATTTCAAAACCAATTTGCTGAGTGATTGGAGAAAAGAATGTCAGTTACTAATAGATAGCCATCGAGCTAAATGGAAAAACAATGGCTGCACACTCATGGCTGATGGATGGACCGATGTGAGGCAACGTACTTTGATAAATTTCTTAGTGTATTCTACACACGGAATGGTGTTTGTGAAGTCTGTTGATGCTTCAGATTTAGTCAAAGATGCCAAAACTCTATTTACTCTATTCTGTGAAGTCATTGAGTGGATTGGTCCTAAGAATATTGTCCATGTAGTAACTGACAATGCAGCTAACTATGTAGCATGTGGCAGGTTGATTAAAGAAAAGTATAAAAATATTTATTGGTCACCTTGTGCTGCTCATTGTCTGAATCTTATATTAAAAGACTTTTCCAGCATGCCAAATGTGTCAGACCTTGCATCAAAGGCATCCAAGGTAACTATCTTTGCATATAATCATATGGTTTTCTTATCATGGTTGAGGAGGAGACCGAGTTGGAAAGAAATAGTGCGTCCTGGTGCCACAAGATTTGCTACGACATTTATTACATTGCACAGCATATATATGCATAAAAATGACTTGCAGGCTCTGGTTGTTGATAAGCATTTTGTGGACCATAGATTATCAAAGACTGAGGCAGGGAAAAATTTTAGTGCAATCATTTTAGATAACCGGTTTTGGAATGACTGTTATCAAGTTGTGAAGATTGTATCTCCTCTCATCAAATTATTGAGAATTGTGGACTCAGATGAGAAGCCTTCATTGCCTTACGTTTATGAGGGGATGAGAAGGGCAAAAATAGCAATTAAGGAGATGTTTAAGAAGAACAAGGAATTGTATAAGCCTTACACAAGAATCATTCAAACTCGATGGGATAGACATCTGAAGACCAATCTTCATGCGGCATCGTATTTGTTGAATCCTGCAATTACATATGGTCCAGATTGTCCTAGCAAGTCAAAGTTAATGATGGCTTTGATTGATGTGGTTGAGTCTTACTCAGATGAAGATATTGATGGCTTCCTAGTGATGAAACAAGCGACTACTTATCGCGAAGGCAAGGAATCTTTTAGCAGGCCTTCATGTCAAAAAGCTGCTCAAAAACTAGACCCCTGTAAGTATTATTATTATTTATTGTATTCATGATTATTCACTAATTCTATATAGTATTGGATACTAAATATATTTTATTATGTAGATGAATGGTGGACATATTATGGTTGTTCAGTTCCAGAATTGCAGCGTGTTGCAATGCGCATTCTTAGTCAAACTTCTGCTTCTTCTGGTTGTGAGAGGAATTGGAGCTTATTTGAAAGAATTCATACGAAAAGAAGAAACAGATTGGGACATAAAAGACTGAATGATTTGGTTTTCACCAATTATAATCTGCGATTGAAGCATAGGTAATCTTGGAAACAATGAATAACTTTAGTTTTTTTTTAATTGATTTATATTTATCTAATATTTTGTTTGTCATTAAAGGAGTACATTGAAGAATAGCAAAAGTTATGATCCAATTGACTATGAAAACATTGATATGGTGGATTTTTGGGTGGCTGAAGAAGATCCCATTCCGGAGTTTGATGATAGAGATGTGGATACATTGGAAAACGTCCTTAACAATGACGGCACTGCCAATTCAACAACTCTTGAGAGTGCTAATGAAGGTTTATATATTTAATTAAGACTCTATTCTTATACCAATATATAGTTATTTGTATAATCTTTAATGTTGGTCACTGTCTTATATAGGTGATGAAGATATGAACATTGCTGACCCTCCACCTTTACAAGATGATGTTGTTGCTCCTGCTTTTCCTTGTCCAGCTGTTGACATCTCAGCCCATGCAAATGATCTTAGTGATGATTTTGATTTTCCCTAGTTAAGATATACATTTCATTAATGTTTGCTTGGTACTATTAAATATTTAAACTACTACTTTTGCAGCTTCTCATCTTTTTTTAGTGATTATTATTTATGAATTTTGTTTTATTTTAATATTATGAATTAATTATATTATTTTAATATGACCGGTCCGACCCCGGTTCAACCTCGGTTCGACCAGTAACCCTTGACCCACTATCTCGACCGGTTTGATGCCCGGTCCGGTTTTTTGTTCCTTGTTAAAAAGTTAGATTAAGCCTGATTAATATTTATTTAAGAACATAAAAATATCTTACACTTCTACCCAACTGTCGACGTCTATGTCCATTAGAATGGTGCACCTCCTCCCGCATTTCCCAGGATTTTGCCTGTAGAACGAAAGCAAAACGAGAGAACGAACAGCGACAACACTGTGACGACGTCCTTGAACGCGAGCATCGGCGATCATTTTATGCAAATCTTTCATTTTGAAGGCTTTAAAGTTCAAACCCTGGTTTATCTCTCCCCCTTTCTCACGTTCGATTCTGTGATTTGATTTTTCTTTCTCTGACGACTTAGGGAATTGATTAATTTACGGTTATGATGCGAATATTGCATACCCAATAGTGCTCACGTGGTAACTTGGGAGTTACGTTTGTCTATTGAAATGATCTTGTTCATTAAGAGGAAGGAAAGTGACCTATATTTTTGCAAGATCTAGATGCAAATTTATTTGTTGTAAAATAGGATTCATCATGATAAAACATTTTAGTTCTGTTGGAAATTTTGTGAGGCCAGCTTAACATTGCTGTCCATCCCACTTTGCCTAATCTATTGAATGGGATGAAAAATGTGATGATGTTCTCCTGGAGGTTGAAAATTATGCATAATTTACGTAGAATATGATTTGTTGGTAGAAACTCCGAGGATATTGTTCTTGCAGTCGAAAACTATTGAGTTCCTTTTTCCTCACGGTGTAAAGCGGATGCGCTTCATATGGAATTGATCACTGACGCAGTTTTCATAAATTTTTGTAAGTTCAATTATACAGAAAGTTGCTTCAAAATTGAGCAATAAACTCTTTGTTTTTATGCAGGTTTGAAATCTAATATGACGCCAGTTTGCCCTTTTGTCAAAGCTTCTCGTCCTGATGATGCCACTGCAAAAAAATCTGGGGAAAATTCAGTTAAGCATCAAGCTGGGTCTGAGAATAAGGTGAAAAAAGAGTCTAACAGTCCAGCTAGTGCTTCTCCTAAGTGCCCTTTTGGATATGATTCCCAAACGAAAAGAGAGGCTAATAGCTCAGCTAGTGCTTCTCCTAAGTGCCCTTTTGGATATGACTCCCAAGCTAAAACAGATTCTAACGACTCAGCTAGTGCTTCTCCCAAGTGCCCTTTTGGATATGACTCCCAAACATTTAAGATTGGTCCTCTTAGCTGTATGATATGCCAGGCACTCCTATTTGAAACTAGGAAATGCGTGCCTTGCTCTCATGCTTTCTGCAAGTATGCTTTCCATGGTTATTCTTTCATGTATACTAATATCTTTACAAATTGTTTCTGAATTTTTTTTCTATTTTTTATATTTCTGAAATTAGGGCATGTATATCACGCTTTAAGGACTGTCCGTTATGTGGGGCTGATATTGAGAAGATTGAGCCTGATGCTAATCTTCAAGGTACAGTTGATCGCTTTATTGAAGGTCATGCTAGGATCAGAAGGTCTATTAATTCAGACAAAGGAGAAGAAACAGAAGAGAATAAACCAGTTATATATGAGGATGTATCTTTGGAAAGGGGTTCCTTCTTAGTGCAACAGGCCATGAGGGTAAGTATGGCTTTTACAAAAATTACTGCTAAGTTGCATACTATTGTATTTCAAATTATTGGATGGAATTGCTCCTTAAAGGTATTTTTTTGGGTGGGGCCAAGGAATAAGTTTTCATTCATATGTTATTGATTATAATAAGAGAAAGATAACAACAACGTGACAATAAAGCATGCTAACGGTTTGCTGTGGTTGGATGTTTTGGAAAGCAACTTTTTGGCGACATGCCATATAAGTGATGGGCGGATGTTGTTATGCTGAGTTCTTCTGCGTGATTGGTGCCATGTTATGCTGCCTGACAATAAGCAGTTTGTTGCATGCAATTCATCTTCAGGCATTCCGTGCTCAGAATATAGAAAGTGCCAAATCAAGGCTCAGCCTCTGTGCAGAAGATATCCGTGGCCAGTTAGAAAAGATGGGTAACACATCAGAATTATGTTCACAGCTTGGAGCAGTCTTGGGCATGCTCGGTGACTGCTGGTGTGTATTGCATATTTTATTTTTGAATCTCTTTTTCTTGTTCATATGCCTTGGATAATGCGATCCATGTAGCCGATTCTGCCTAGTGGGATAAGGATTTATTGTTGTTTTATGCTTCTTTTATCACTTGATTTTTCTTGCCATACTCTTACATGTCTCTGTGCATAACAATCTATTTCATTCTCGTCACATTTTGATTTTACCTTTTCCATTTCTGCTTGCTCATATTTTTTTGTAGTATATTTTCACTTTATTCTGTCAGACTATCTTGCAAAATTGATAACTTAAGAAGGATGAAATTATGTTCAAGTATACAAATATCTGTTAGAACTCCCATTGATTGCGGAAAAGGATACAAGTAAGGATAGTTTTAAGTATGAATGCATGTGTGAAAAATGATGAAGTGATTCTAATAGGAATGCTGGATTTAATTAGACATAGACCAAGAATTGAAAAAGGACTACTTCCCTCGTACATGGTTCCAGGCTGCGTTATTTTGTTTTCTCTCTCAAGAATCTTTTCATCTAAAGGCCCGTGAATAGCTTTATTGAAGTGTGAACATAGTACAAGCTTGACATGCCTTTTGTTGAAACTTCATTTAGTTATGTAGGATAAGAGCACCAATGATTGAACTCTTGACTGCTTGGTTATATAAAGGCTTCAGTACTATGCCAAGTCTTAGTTCAACCCTAAATCCTAAATTGTTAAGTGAAGGCCATGAGTAGTTTCAGTTATTTGCGAACAGCTATCATCTTCTCACCTATGCCTTTGCCTTCCAAATGAGTTTTTTTCCAATAAAAATTTTAAAAGGACAACCACTATTTTAACAATTTTTTGGTGTTGGTTGCCCAAGAAGATCCCTGTAAATTTTTGTAAGTAATTTGAGATTTCTTTCCTGTGCAATTTGATGCTGTTTGTTCTTATTCGATATGAAAAACAGTGAGGTACATATATAGGCATGCGCCCTAACTGACCGAATCACCCATAGGATACAGAATCAATGAAAAATAAAATAAAATCTCCTAGAATCAGGGAACTTAAACTCTTGCTGTCTATCTTCTATTTTTTTAAGTAAATAAAACCTAAACCTAATTAGGTTAATTTGGGCCAAGGCCCATATCGGCGCTAACACTCACCCTCAAGCTAGTGACTAAATATCCTTCATTCCCAGCTTGCTTCTGAGCTCATCAAACGGGGGCCTTGGTAATGCTTTGGTGAAGAAATCTGCTACTTGTCTGTGTGATGGAACATGCGAAAGATCAATTATTTTTGCATCCATCTTTTCTTTGATGAAATGCTTGTCTATGTCCACATGTTTTGTCCTTTCATAATGAGTAGGAATCCTGACCATCCTGATAGCTGACATACTATCGCATCTTAGCCTGATTGGACTGCTAGGCACAAGTTGTAGCTCCTTCAACACTCTGAGTAGCCATAGCCCTTCACATACTTCGTGAGCAAGTGCACGAAGTTTTGACTCAACACTACTCCTAGATACCACCGATTGCTTCTTGCTTCTCCACATTACAAGATTTTCCCAAACCATAGTGCAGTAGCCTGAAGTTGATCTTCTATCAGGGAGAAAACCTCCATAGTCTACATCGGTATATACTTCTATGTCTCTGGAGCTCCCTTTAGCAAAGTAGAGTCCTCTTCCTGGTGTCATTTTTAGGTAGTGTAGGATCCTGTAAACAGCGTCCATATGTTCCTCAAGTGGCTCATTGGAGAAGTGACTCACCACTCCCACGGCATAACTTTGTCTGGGCGTGTATGATATAGATAGAGTAGTTTTCCCACCAACTTCTTATATCTCTCTGCATCAACCGGCACAGGTTCTTTTTTAGGTTTCTTTTTTGAACTTTCTTTCCCTTCTTCTGAGTTCATTTCTTCCTCTTCTTTATTGTCTAATTTGCATCCTGGCTCCATTGGCGTGTCTGCTGGTTTGGCGCCCAACATACCAGTCTCCTTTAGTAAATCAAGGGTATATTTTCGTTGAGAGACAACTATGCCTTCCTTGGATCTAGCAATCTCCATTCCAAGGAAATATCTAAGACTTCCAAGGTCTTTTACTTCAAACTTCTTTTCTAAGGATTTCTTCAATCTGTTTATCTCAAAGAAGTCGTCACCGATTAAAATGATATCATCTACATACACAATGAGAATCGTTTTTCTTCTACCAGAATGTCTGACAAACAGAGTATGATCCGATTGGCATTGGTTATACCCTAATTTCTTTACAGCAGTTGTAAATTTCTCAAACCAGGCTCGAGGAGACTGTTTAAGACCATAGAGAGATTTGTATAGTCTGTAGGCCATACTTGGAGAGTTGTACTGTGCTAAACCTTGTGGAATATTCATAAATACTTCTTCTTCCAAATCGCCATTAAGAAAGGTGTTTTTTGCATCTAGTTGATGCAGGGGCCAGTCAACGTTGGCTGCTAGAGATAGCAAGATTCTAATTGTATTGAGTTTATCTACCTGTTAGAAAGCCCTGATTTTCTCCCTTGATTCTCTCTATTAATTACCCATGATATTAGCTAGAATTTATATTTCTTGATTTCTTGTGATATTGCAATATCTGTAATTTATGACTGATTGATTGTAACCGGATTGATTTCTCTTATCCGGACTCTATAAATTGTAACCCAATCATATGGAATAATATGAGAGTCAGAAATATTTAGCAAATTGAAGCATGGTATCAGAGCAAGGGGTTCGACCTGAACCCATAATATTTCGTGAGCTTCTGCTGTGAGACAGAGAGAGAGAAAGCGAGGAGAGAGAGAGAGTGAGGCGTCCCAGATCTGAAGCCAGGAGCTGACTGTGGACGACACCGCCCCTCCAGTCCTCACCGGCATCCTCTGATCGGTGCATCCCTTGAAGACGACAGCCAACGGAGCTACGCGTGAAGCTTACGCGCTGTCACAAGCCCCTGCGCGTGAAGCCCACGCGCCACCACTGCCTCTGCGCGTGAATTCCACGCGTCGCCGCCTGAAACCAACAGTACCTCCCAGAGATCCAGAAAATGAACCCATCAGAATTCCCACCCCTTTTTGGGTCCGTTTGCAATATTCCAGTGGCCCTTATGTCCGGTACATCTTCAAATACTCAAAACACTCCTCCTTCACCAATGGTCACCTCTCAAACCTCTGATCTAGAACCATCCTTAGCCTCTGAACATCAAGCTATGGTGGTGGCTCACAAACTTAATGGTAGCAACTATCTTCAATGGTCTCAAAGTGTATTAATGTATCTACGTGGGAAGCGGAAGGAGAAATATATCAATGGAGAGGCAAAACAACCTTCCCATAATGATCCCAAATTTGACACCTGGTTCGTTGAAAATGATCAGGTAATGTCTTGGCTGTGCAACTCAATGACTCTCGAAATCAGTGAAGGATACCTCCTGGCAAGCACAGCTAAGGAAATCTGGGATGCTGCTAAGAGGACTTACTCTACACTAGACAACACTGCAGCCTTATTGGATCTAAGGAGGCAGCTCAAAGATCTGAAGTAAGGAAACTTAACTGTAACACAATATTACAGCACTTTAACAAAGATATGGCAGCAGTTGGATCTCTTTGAAGTACATCCTTGGAAGGATATGGATGATGCGAATTACTACAGACAACTGGTGGAAAAAGGACAAACCCATGACTTCCTGTTGGGCTTGAATGATGTCTTTGAGGAAGTAAGAGGCAGAATTATGGGTCTAAAACCGCTTCCATCCTTATTTGAAGTCTTCAGTATGGTCAAGTTCGAAGAAAGCCGGAGACACCTCACTCAGGGTAGCCAAACTCTTGTAGATGGTTCAGCATTGGTCACGAGGAGGTCCCCAGCATTTGAGGGATCTGAGAAGAGAGGGAACAAGTGGTGCAATCACTGTAACAAGAAAGGCCACACCAGAGACGAATGTTGGAAACTACATGGGAAACCAACCCAAGGGAAGCAAAAACAACGGGAAGATAAAAAGAGCCACCACACCTCCTCTGAAGAAAAAGGTGATGATGGAGACCAGTTGACCAGAGAAGAGTTTCAAATGCTTCGTAAGATACTTGAAAAACAAAACAAATCAAAATCTGTCCCCAACGTGAACTTGATTCAGTCAGGTAATTCCATTATAGCCCTTAATGCAATGGTAACTAGTGATGAGACTTGAATTGTTGACTCCGGTGCTACAGACCACATGACTGGTAATAAGTCCCTATTCAAAACCCTCAAATATTGCCATGAGAACCTTAGGGTAAAAGTCGCAACTGGACTATATACTAAAGTTGAGGGTGTTGGCATTGTGGGCCTATCTGATGATCTAGAAATCCATAATGTTTTGTTTGTTCCTGCTCTTACCTGCAATTTCATATCTGTGAGCAAATTGACTAAAGGACAAGTATGTCGGGTAATCTTTGATGATGTTAAGTGTGTTTTTCAGGATTCGACCTCGGGGAGGAAGATTTTGACTGCTAAAGAATGGGATGGACTCTACACTTTGAAGGAAAGAATATGAAGACTGCAGGAGCAAAGAAAGCTATGGTTAGCTCTAATTCTCAAAATAAAAATGTAATGTTGTGGCATCAAAGATTAGGCTACCCCAGCTTTGATTATATGAAGCATGTGTTTCTAACTTTATTCAATAAAAATTCTTCTCCTTTCCAATGTGAAACGTGTCAAATTGCCAAACAAACTCGTGCCTCTTATCCCAAACATCCTTACAAACCTATTGCCTCGTTTACAATGATCCATACCGACATTTGGGGACCAGCCAAAATCAACACTCGAACAGGCACAAAGTGGTTTATTACATTCATCGATGATCACACCCGGGTCACATGGATTTACCTTATGAAAGAAAAATCAGAAGCTTTACAAATTTTCAAAAACTTTCACTCTTTTGTGAGAACCCAATTCCAAACTCTCATCAAAGTTCTGAGAAGTGACAATGCCAAAGAGTACGTGAGTGGAGCCTTTAGGGCATTTCTTGAGCAAGAAGGAATCCATCACCA